AGGTGAAGAAACTGAAAACAAGTCCATGAGAACTAAAATATGATCCTGAACATATTCCACCTATATTTCGAGATTATTTCAAGAACAGATTTGATGCCTTAGACACTAATGACTGAAGACCAGAAGATTTGTGGGATGACATCAGAACATGATACAGGAAGAGAGAAAATGTCATTAAGAAGATAAGAAAGAAAGAAAAGACCAAAATGAATGTCAGTAGAACTGTCTGAACTGACTCAATGGCATTTAACAATAACATGGGCAAAATACTGAATGATGAAGAAAGCATCAAAAGAAGATGGAAGGAATACACAGTCACTGTAAGAAATAGAAATGGTCAATGTTCAACCATTTCAAGGGGTAGTATATGATTAAAGGTCAATGGTACTGCTGGAATTAGTTCAATGTGCACTGAAGGCACTGGCAAAGAACAAGGCTCTGGGAATTGATGGAATACAAATGAAATCTTTTAACAAACTGATGCAGCATGAGAGGCACTCACTCATCTATGCCAAGAAATCTGGCCAACTGACTGGAAGAGATCCGTATTTTTGGTCATTTCAAAGAGAGGTGGCCCAATAGAATGCAGAAATCATCGCACAATATATTAATGTCACGTGCAAGTAAAATTTTGCTAGAGATAGTTCATAAACAGCTGCAACAGTACATTGACAGGGAATTGCCAGAGGTCCAAGTAGGATTCAAACAAGGATGTGGAATCAGTAATAGCATTGCTGACATCAGATGGATTTTGGTTGAAAGTAGAGATTACCAGAAAGATGTTTTATTGATTATGCAAAGACTTTCAACTGTTGGCATCATGACAAGTTATGGACAACACTGCTGAGAATGGGTATTCTGGAACACTTAATTGTGCTCATGTGGAAACTGTACATAGAACAAGAGGTAGTCATTTTAACAGAACAAGAAAACACTGAAGGGTTTAAAATCAGCAAAGGTGTGTGTGTCAGCATTATATTATTTCACCATTCTTATTCTATCTGTTGTTGTTATGTGCCATGGAGTTGGTTCTGACTCATAGTGACCCTGTACAGGGTTTCCGAGGCTATAAATCTTTACGGGAGCAGAAAGCCTCCTCTTTCTCTCACGGAACAGCTGGTAGTTTTGAACTGCTGACCTTAAGGTTCACAGCCCGATTCGTAACCACTATGCTACCAGAGCTCCTTATATTTGTATGCCGAGCAAATAATCCAAGAAGCTGGTATCAGGATTGGAGGAAAAGTCATTAACAACCTGTGGTATGCAGATGACACAACCTTGCTTGCTGAAAGTGAAGAGGGCTTAAAATACTTACTGATGAAGATCAAAGACCACAGCCTCCAGTGTAGGTTGCACTTCAGTGTAAAGAAAACAAAAATCCTCACAACTGGACCAATAAATAACATTGTGATATATGGAGAAAAGATTGAAGTTGTGAAAGAATTCATTTTGCTTGGATCCACTATCAACACTCATGGAAGCAGCAATTACATTAGTCAAATCTGCTGTAAAAGACCTCTTTAAAGTGTTGAACAGCAAAGATATCAATATCAGTTTGAGGACAAAGATTCACCTGATACAAGCCATGGTGTTTTCAGTTGTCTCATAAAATGTTAAAGTTAGACAATGAATAAGAAGACCATAAGAATAGATGCATTTGAGTTATGGTACTGGGGAAGCATACTGAAAAGTACCATGGACTGCCTAAGAACAAATAAATCTTTCTTGGAAGAAGTTCAGTCCTTAGAAGTGAGGATGGTGAGACTTTGTTGTATTTTGGACATGTTGCCAGGAGGGATTAGTCCCAGGAGAAGGACTCAGTAGAGGGTCAATATAAAAGAGGAAGCCCCCCAACAAGATGGACTGATACAGTAGTGGCAACATCAATGGGCTTAGGCATAGCAATTGTGAAGATGATGCAGGACTGGACACTGTTTCACTCTCTTGTACACAGGGTCACTATGAGTAGGACCTGACATGAAGGCACCTAACAACAACAACAGCAACAGCAACAACAAGGAAACCTATTCTGAAAAGTCTCAAAACGTCTTGTTAAGATGGAGCTATAGTATAAACACTGGACTGCTAACCACAAGGTTGGTGGTTCAAACCCACCAGCCACTCCTTGGAAACCCTATACAGGGTAGATATGAGTCTGAAACAACTCAACAGCACTTAACAACAAAAGAAGTAAAAAGACTTTAATAAATAACCAGGTTAGGTCTAGAGGGTATGGTGATTCCCACCCACCCCCCATTCATGTTGCTGCCTCCACACCCTCTCTCCCCACTTTTACAAATATGTGCACAAATCTTTTGAATAACCTTATACATTAATAAAGCACACAAAGCACATGTCTGAAATAACTTTCTCACACACATTACTATATCAGAATGTACAATATAGGTTTAGACAAATATGTGCTAAAAACTAAGTTTTCATTTTCTTCAACTCGTTCAACATTATGAAAATGAAAAATTAATGCTGTTCTATGTCATAGTTAACCTTCTTTTCTTTCATCTTGCTCTAGGTTCTGAAGCAAGTACTTAGGTATTCTGGATAATCGCCTTTTCTCATTGACGCTAGAGGATAAGCACTGGACTGCTCATCACAAGGCTGGTGGTTCACACCTACCAGTCGCTACTTGGAACTGATTCCACAGCACTTAACAACAAAATATCTATGTGCCATCTCTGCTACAGATCACTTCTATGAATTAAAAAAAAAATCCATAGGTCCATTCTGTATTTAACCTGAATCAACAAATAAAAGCTCTGGTAGCGTAGTGGTTACGAATCGGGCTGGGAACCGCAAGGACAGCAGTTCGAAACTACCAGCGGTTCCGCGGGAGAAAGATGAGGCATTCTGCTCCCATAAAGATTTACAGCCTCGGAAACCCTGTGCAGGGTCGCTATGAGTCGGAACCGACTCCATGGCACTTAACAACAACAACAAATAAAAAAACATCTTGCATTATTTCTATGTTCAATAAATACTAACTGAATCCAATCTGTGAAGAAATCAAAATAGTAGGGTTCAGGTGAAAACCTGCAAATCACAAGGTCGGCAATTCAAACCCACCAACTGCCTCTTGGAACCCCTATACAGGATTGCTAAGAGTTGAAACTGAAACTGACTCGAAGGCACAAAAATTTTCTTTGTTAACGCAAAGATACCACTCACAATAGGGTTTGTTTACATAAGCATTCCATTAAAATTCTCCACATATTCACTCTATAGTCGCCATTTGTTTCTAAAACACACATTACTACATATCCTTAGAGCCCATCTGTAATTAAAATTAGTTCTTCTGCTTGGCTTTTCATTGAATGCTGTATAGATATTAAAACCTGATCATCGGTCACTTATAAGGCCATTAGTATGATTCCTATCTCCATTTTCCTCCTTCCCACCACCCCCATACTAGTTAGCTCCAGGGTTGTAACTGTGCTTGAGTTGAGTCTCAGGTAAAATGAGATGGAAAAGTGATGTTTGTGCCTCTCAAACCCACCAGTAAAATCCTCGACTACGGTTCGAAACTACCAGCTGCTCCGCGGGAGAAAGATGAGGCTTTCTACTCCCGTAAAGATTTACACCCTTGGAAACCCTATACAGGGTCGCTATGGGTCGGAACCGACTCGATGGCACATAACAACAACAACAACAACAACAACAACAACGTTTAAACGTTAAGCACCCCATAAAATGTTTTTTGTTTTGTTTTTTAAGGTTGTCTGTGGGATAAACACATTTCCAGAACAGATGTAGTCTTGCATGCCTTCTTTTTAAATTAAACCTAAGACTTCCTTGAGTGAAGGAAGACCAAACACGCACCGCACCTCGGCGCCAGAAGCCCTCCAGGGTCTTAAGAAGAGCAGAAGCATACTAGAGGACAAGAGGAAGATTTTAAAAAGCGTGTGGAAAAAAGAGAACGCAAGGGGCGCAGAGGGGCACCGCCTACCTCCCGGATTAGAACCCGGGTGCTCCGTGAGCCGACAGACGACAGTAAGAGGAACGGAGACCAAACTGAGTATTGAAGGGACCAGTGGTAGCCGCGGGAAAACAGTCGCAGCGCATGCCGGGAGCCATGCCCCACAGCACGGTGGGTCGCGTAGTCTCCTCAGGCTACCCTCCAGGTTGTAGCCGAGAGCGACCGCCTACAACTCCTTTTAGGGCTCGATCCACCTGATGGGGAGACAGTCGGTAACACCGGGTCGGGTGAGGTGGGCCAGGCTTCCATCTCCCTGTACGAACGACGGAAGGGAGAAGTCAACTACCTCCCATTCCATCAGGTTCCATTCAGACATTGAGCGAAGAGGCGAGCTTGACAGTACTTCTCCTTTAAGTGGGGGCAGGACGCAGCCTGCCGTTTGGCCGTCCTCCTCACCCTCCCCCTCGATCCAAGAGTTGACAGACCAATCACCTGAGTGCCAGTGGGAAGGCGGGAGAATGCGAACCCTTCTGTAAAGCGGTAGGGGCGGGTCCCGGTCCATATTAGGAATGAGTCTTGCGCAGGCGCAGAGGCGGCTGCGGGTAGAGGGGCGGGGACAGTCCAGCGAGAGACTCTCCGACAGGCACCGAGGGTGATTGGGGGAAAAGCGGGCAGCGAGGGGCTTGTCATGGAGATCATAACTACTAGACCGTGTTGGTAGCATCTGGGGACTCAAAGGGGGACAGGAAGTATCAACGCCCGAGACTCTGGCGCTAGCTCCGCTGGGGGGATCCCCGCTGCTCTATTCCTGGGGCAAGAGGGGAGAAAGGAGGGAGCATTGATCTCGCCCCGCCCCTGGGCTTGTTACCGCGGGGGCGGGGAGCGAGGGCTTCTTTTGGGGGGAGTGGAGATCGGGGGCTCGGCTTTGCCCTCTTAAGCGACTGCCGGTGTCCCCGCGGTGCCGGGCTGGTGAGCGGAGGATCCGCGGCGGCTGTCGCTGTTGCATGTGTGGCTGCTGGATGCGGAGGCGGCGGCGGCGGCGGCGGCGAGGAGTAGCAGCGGCGGCAGGATGTTAGGGCAGCAGCAGCAGCAACTGTACTCGTCGGCCGCACTCCTGACGGGGGAGCGGAGCCGACTCGTCACCTGCTACGTGCAGGACTACCTCGAGTGTGTGGAGTCGCTGCCCCACGACATGCAGAGGAACGTGTCTGTTCTGCGAGAGCTGGACAACAAATATCAAGGTAGGGGGCCGCGGGGCTGCCGGTGCGGGTCCTTCTTACCGGGAAAGCTGGCCGCCGAGCGTGATCGCTCGGAGCCTACCCCGGGAAGTGCCACTTTCCCTTTTTCCTGTGACAGTCTCTGCAAGTGCACAGTTGGGGTCTTGTGTTTGGGAAGGGGAACACGGACTTGAGACCGGTTTGTGGCCCTCTCTTCCCCTATTGCGATCGGCGTGGACTTCTGAAGGGTCTCTAGGGTGGGGGTGGAGGCCTCTCGTCAGCCCCCGCTGCAGACCTAGCGGCTGCAGCTGTTGGAAAAGGGAATCAGCCATTTTAAGCAGCAAGCATTTGTCCCGGCTCTTGGTTGCCCCGTGCCGCAGACTCGCCTGCCCCAGGGGGGGAGTGTGCAGCCAAGCGCGGGGCTGTGCGGAGGGAGCGGTCGGCTACGGGCAGACTAGTTAGTGTCCATGGCCTGGCTCTCCTCAGCACCCCCTGTCCCCGACCCCCACCTCCGGAGAGCAGATGCAGTGGAACGTGCTGGGGGGAGGGGAGGGGGCAAGGGAGGGCCGCGAAGGCGGACTCTAGGGAAGTCAGTCCTTCCACTCCTCAGCTCCCGACTCCGGGATTGAGGAGTCAGTTCCCAGATCTCGCCCCAGGGAAAGTTTTGGGCCGCAGCCTTTTCCAGAGTCCTAGGCTGTACGGTTAAAAGGGGAGGGGTACTCCTCAGGAAAAGGACTAGGGGTGTGTGTCTCTGTATGTGAGTTGTGTGCGCGGGTGGGAGGCAAAGAGGGCCTCCTTCTCTCTGTAGGCGGAGCTTGCGGTAGTGACGTGTTGTGGGAGGGGTTTGGGCGCGCGCGCTCCCGCTGGCCACGAAAATGGCTGGTCACTGGAAGTCTAGGACGGAGCTATCTGGTTGGAAGGGGTGGAGGCGTCCGTCCCCCTATCTGCCGGAGTAAATTCATTGTTGGATTTTAGAACATGTTTGTGTGGTTTCTCGACTCTGCTTACCCATCACTAAATCGAGACCGACACAACTGCTGGAGGAACCGTCGCAGACCCTACTACCGTGTATGTCCGTGCCATGCGTCACTTCCTGGCTCTAGGAGGAAATGGGTTGGTTGACTGGGTAACCGCCTGGCGTCCCTTCACCCCTTGGTTTCTCCTTCAACAAGTTTAAGTGGTGAGGCGAAAACACCATTCTGATCAGATCCGAAAAGCTAGGACAAGGAATCAACCTTTCTTAGACAGTATCGTTTTTCAGCCACTACTCTTGGACCTGTCACCTGCTACTAGAAGAGAAGTTTAAATGTGGAGCTGTAGTGCGGCTAATTTAGCACAGATCTAAGAAGAGACGTTTCACATAATGGAATAACAGCCTAGATAACTTCTAGGACCCATTCTGAGTTTTCCTATTTAGTCGCTGAAGGAGCCCACTTCTGGGGTGACATTTTCAGGCCTGTGGCATGCATTTAGGTTTCTCTGTAAGCACTGTAATACTGGTAATGCTGTGGGTTAATGCATTGGACTGTAAGGTCGGCGGTTCAAGCTCACCAACCGCTCCTTGGATACCCTGTGCAGGGTCGCTGTGTGCCAGAAATCGACTTCACGGCACTTAACAATAAGCACTGGACTGCAAGGTCGGTTTGAACCATAAGGTCAGCAGTCCAAACTCATCAGCCACTCCTCGGAAACCCTATACTGGGTCGTTATGAATCTGAACCGACCGGACAGCACTTAGCAACAACAACATATGGATATGCGTAGTCATAGTGTTGCCCTGTAAGGATAAGCACTGGACTGCTAACCGCAAGGTCGGCAGTTCAAACCCACCAGCAATACCTCGGAAATCAGTGTGCCTTGGAGTGGTGGTGGTGGTGTGCGGTGGAGTCGGTTCCGACTCATAGCGACTCCTGTACAAGGTTTCCGAGCTGTAAATCTATACCGGAGCAGAAAACCTCATCTTTCTCCCGCGGAACAGCTGGTAGTTCCGAGCTGTGGTTCACAGCCCGATTCTTAACCACTACGCTACCTTTCGGAAACCATATACAGGATTGCTAAGAGTCCTAACCAAGTCAATAAAACTCAACAACACAAGAACACAGGAATATGCAGGGTCGCTGTGAGTTTCCTACTAGAAAGTATTTAACACAATGAAAAGCTATTAATCCATTTACTACTGTCTTCTAAACTCATTTGGTTGATTGGACTGATCTCGGTTGGGAATTAGTGCTGCCTGTTTATTATGTGCCAGTTGCTGCCCCAGGTCCAGAACATTATCTCGTTTACTATTCACAGTAGCCCTATGAAGTAGAATTTACTTTCATGATAAGCTTGATTTACAAGGAATTTAAGAAACTTGCCCAATTAATGAGTTGGGAATAATTAACTTCAAAGCATGATTCCTTCAGGTGCATATTCTTGTTTTAAAATGGTGTAAACGTTTTTTTTTTAATGATTAAAAACTCTCTACCAATGTAATTTCTACAGACTGAGAACATGCGTAAATGGTAACCTGGAAATGATACTTACATACTTTCAGAATTGTGGATTTAACAATTTTAGTTTTTCACATAACTGATCATGCTGGAGTCCTGGTTTAGTGCCGTAGGATAAACACTGGACTGTTGATCGTGTAAGGTTGGTGCTTCAACCCCACCAGCTGCTCCTCAGAAATCCTATACTACAGGATCTCCGTAAGTTGAACCAACTAGACAACACTTAACATTCACTCCGAAAATTGTAAAGCTCGCAAGAGTTTGTTGTTGTTACGTCCGTTGAATCGTTTTTGACTTATGTTGTTGTTAAGTGCTGTCGAGTTGGTCCCGACTCATAGAGACCCTGTATAGGGTTTCTGAAGAGCGGCTGGGTGAGTTTGCACCGCCAACCTTGCCGAACTGACTCATAGCCATCCTGTTTAGGGTTTTCCAGGAGTGACTGGTGAGTTTGAATCACCAACCTTGGGGTTCAAAACGACCTTGCAGTTTAGTACTTACCCTATAGTGCCACAAAGCCACATGTTTGTCTTCACAAAAGTTAAAGTTATTTGTTTTTTCATTTGAAGTTGAAGAGGAAAACTTTTAATTTGTCAACAGAGTAATCTGCCATCTTGGCCATTCAGAATTGTCATAAATAGGCTATGGTGACATGAGAAATAGACTTTACAAGATTGAGAGATTATAATAATCTTGGCTCTATTAATTGTACAAGTAATTTCAAAATCAACAAACAATTGCTATTAAGAGCAGTATAAAAACTCACTACGCACATGTTTACTAAGCTCAACTTTCACAGGCTTAGGTCTATTGAGTTTATAGACTTTTGTGTTCTTGGTTCAGATTTCTTATATTTGTTATTTGCTAGTTAAGTATTTTCTGGTTTTTGTATCTAAAACAGCAATATTTTGTGATGTGAGCTATATTAACAAATTTACCTCCCATCTCCTTGAGACTCAAGAAATTATTGAAGAACCATTAAAATGGAGAAATAAAGAAGAAAACAATTTCACAACCGAATGAAGTATTCAGAGTATGGCTTTAGGCCTGGTGTGGCGCTGTAGGATAAGTACTGAACTGCTAACCACAACAACATTGCTATTAAAGAATTTCCTTTGCTCCAATATTTTCATTCGTATTATCCTAGGGAGATAACAGCTTTTGAACTATAATTTTATTTGTGGTATCAAGTGTCTTCAATGTGGTTTAGTAGAAAGTACATAAAATTTGGAGTTAGGCACACTGATCTGGCAGAGTTCAAAGTCAGGGGTTTTTGCTTTTTTATTTCAGTTTTTTTCCCATGTGGAAGTAATAACTAACTTTCTCAAGGGTTTACTGTGGAGATTAGAGAAATAAGAAAATCTGTACCACATGGGGGAGGAGGGCATCAGTGTCAGTTTCTGTTTCCTATCTTCCACTACATAACTAAGATCTTAAAGTAAAAATTTTTGTGTCATGTAGTATCAGTGTGCTGGTATATCTTTTAATTTGCTTCTAACTCTTGATTGGTAAATATGAAATACTTGAAATAAGGTTTTTTACCTATTTTTTAAAATCTTCAAATTTTGGGTGTTGAGGGAGAAAATATGTAGTTAGTTTTTTTCTAGAGGGAAATTAGGTTCTTAAAAAATCCACTTAGATGCCTCACTGAGCAAATCGGATGACTGTGAACTTTCTTCAGAAATAGGATATACATTGAGGTTGCTGTTAGTTGTCATCAAGTTGGTGTCAACTCAGAGTGACTCCATGTGACAGAGTGGAAAGGTCCCATAGGGTTTTCTTGGCTGTAATTTTTACAGAAGCAGTTTACCAGATCTTTCTTCTGCAGAGCCACTGGTAGATTTGAACCATCAACTTTTTGGTTAACAGCCAAGTATTTAACTGTTGTGTGGCCAGGCTTGAGTACCCTAAAATCTGGTGATACTTTGTTGTGTGTTCCAGTTTAAACAGTTAATAATCAAGTATGATTCTCCTGTAGTTTTCAGGAGAAATCAAGTCATGAGAGTTGGTTTGAATATTTGCTCTGCCACCTCTATGTATGTATATAACTTGTCAAACATTCCTGCTCTTATCTTTTGAGTAAAAAATAATATTGGAATATGTAGCTGTGGTGTGCTGTGTGGTAAAATGAGTTAATTTTTGATTCTCCACTTTTCAGTTAGAATGAACTCTTTCAGATAGCATTATATCTCTAAGTGTAAGACATAGGACAGATTTGAACAAAACACAAATTTTTGACACCATCTGAAACTTTATTTTCAGATTTTTCTAGAATCACCTTTAGTGATCAGACATATTTTTCTCGATTTAAGTAAGTGTCCTGAATGTTATACAAATACCTACGTCAGCAATTTAGACAGCTTAGAAGCAGCTATTGAGTTCTCTACAAAGGCAGACTTCGTTCATTGCTGACTGTATTGTAATTTTATTAGTGGCTTTGCTAGTGATGCCCAACCCTGACCTGCTCTGGAAATGGTTTGATTACCAGAATTTCCCATGTAATACTGAACTGGTTACTGAACTGGTAACTGCATGGTTAGCAATTCAAACCCACCAGCTGCTATCAGAAACAGTATACACAGTCACTATGAATCAGGACCAACTTGATGGCAAACAATAACAATTTAAAAATAAAATGAAAAGTTATTAAAACTAATGATGGGAAGCTAAGAGTTGCTTATGTCTGCTTTGTTTAAGCTGTTGCGAGAGGGAGGATATGATAAGAAAATGAAGGAGTAGAATATCTCGAGTCATGTGGCAAGCCATTGATTGAAGTGTAAATCTTATAAACACAGTTGGACAGCAATCTTTAGTTTAGCTATAGGATCTTTCCAAGTTTTACAGCTGTGAAAATGTATATAAGAGTAATTTTGAGGTTCATATTAAGTATAGGCAATATGGCACTAAGTAAACTCTAAATTGGCCTATTGTTCCTGCCTGTGTGAAATACTTCTGGTGATTAATTAGGCACATGTTTGAATATAGATTAATGGGTGTTAGAGTTTTGTTTTCTTTCTTTTTATTAGTTTATTTAAAAATATATTTTCATCTTGGATAACATGGTCTTTGCATAGTAAATAATGTTTTTGGTGTATACATACTATAGAGAAGTATGGTTTTAAGATTTGAGTTCTAACTTACCAATTCTGTGAAAAATATCATGGAAAATGTCATGTTGACACATGGTAACTCTCTGCTTTTTTCTTTTCCTTTTTAAAGAAACATTAAAAGAAATTGATGATGTCTATGAAAGATATAAAAAAGAAGACGATTTAAACCAGAAAAAACGCCTACAGCAGCATCTCCAGAGAGCATTAATCAATAGTCAAGAACTGGGAGATGAAAAAATTCAGATTGTCACACAAATGCTAGAGTTGGTGGAGAATCGAGCAAGACAAATGGAGCTGCATTCACAGTGTTTCCAAGATCCTGCTGAAAGTGAAAGAACCTCAGATAAAGCAAAAATGGATTCCATACAACCAGAAAGATCTTCGAGAAGACCCCGCAGACAGAGAACCAGTGAAAGCCGTGATTTATGCCACATGACAAATGGGATTGAAGACTGTGATGATCAGCCACCTAAAGAAAAGAAATCTAAATCAGCCAAGAAAAAGAAACGTTCCAAGGCCAAGCAGGAAAGGGAAGCTTCACCTGTTGAGTTTGCAATAGATCCCAATGAACCTACATACTGTTTATGTAACCAAGTGTCTTATGGGGAAATGATAGGATGTGACAATGAACAGTGTCCAATTGAATGGTTTCACTTTTCATGTGTTTCACTTACCTATAAACCAAAGGGGAAATGGTATTGCCCGAAGTGCAGGGGAGATAATGAGAAAACAATGGACAAAAGTACTGAAAAGACAAAAAAGGATAGAAGATCGAGGTAGTAAAGGCCATCCACATTTTAAAGGGTTATTTGTCTTTTATATAGTTCGTTTACTTTCAGAAAATGTTTTAGGGTAAATGCATAAGACTATGCAATAATTTTTAATCATTAGTATTAATGGTGTATTAAAAGTTGTTGTACTTTGTCTGTGACCTTAATTTTCTGCACTGAATTACCAAATACTTTAAACCAGGTAGTCTTCAGATCACCTGATGAAAGGAACAGGGACTAGGGAGAGGGTGGTATGGATATTCTAAAAACTTCACAAGCTGTGCTTATTTCATTTTCACTTAAAACCACAATGTTAATTTTTGGGCAAACACTAAGATTTTGCTAGCATTCTAGTTCTACATATTTATAAAAATCTTGATAGAGTTGGATTTCTCTGTAAGCATCAAATTATCTTGGGTAACTTAAAATATGAACACTATCCCATTCAGAGCTTCTTTCTCCCTTGCCCCATTTATACATTTACGCATCTCTAGTCTTCTAGGAATGAGAAACTAGAGATAAGAATAATTTGGGATTCCATGTGGAATAATGTGCTCTTATTAGAGTATTTGCTGCTGTATTTTCCTTAGTAGCATTTTGATACACTGTCAGTAGCCCATTTGTAAAGGCCTTGCTGCAACATCATAGATACGTTTAATTGCTTAATAAAGGAAATTGCTTTTTTGTTTTGATTTAATTGCGACAGTTAAGATTAGAATACCAAAAATACTGCCATTTGCAAAATTTGAATTATGCAGTATCATGGTTCAAGGTCGAGCATCTTATTTAATAATTTTTTCCATGTACTCCACTGTTGGGCTACTAAGCCACAGTCCTATCAGTGGAAAAAGGGCACATATTAGTCTTTAAATACTGCCTTTATGTCAAACAATTGTTTTAAATAGTTTTGCTAGCGGTGATAGTTCATTTCTGTTCCAATCAGTGATTATACATTATTTTATAAATGTATTTATATATGTTGTTGTTGTTGTTAAGTGCCGTCGAGTCGGGTCCGACCCATAGCGACGCTGTACAGGGTTTCCGAGGGTGTAAATCCTTACGGGAGCAGAAAGCCTCATCTTTCTCCCGCGGAGCAGCTGGTAGTTTCGAACCGCTGACCTTAAGGTTCGCAGCCCGATTCGTACTT